ATGAGTTGAACCTGGCAGTGCACGCCTGTAGTCCTACTTGAGAGGCTGAGGCAAGATCACTTCAGTTCAAGGTTGCAGTGAGCTCTGATCACACCACAGCACTCTAGCCTGTGCCAACATAGCAAGAGCCTATCTTAAATAAACAAACAAAAACCAAAATTCTAGATTAAATCCTTAGAGTCTGCGTTTTACTAAGTACTACACGAGTTGCCAAGATATAAATACAATACAAAAAGACTTTGTCTTTATGGAGGTCAATTCTAATGGAAGACACAGGTGTACAATTTCCATATGATAATGTGATACAAGTATGTATAAGATACCAATACCAAGGTTTACACAGATAACACATCAAAAGAAGGCATAAGAAGTGAACATTAAGAGGGACTTTACCCAAAAGTACAAGCAGTGTAACCTTGTTCTTTGTATCCTCAAAGAATCCCCAAAAATAAAAAAATAAATAAATAAAATAAAATAAAAATAAGAAGTAAAAACTTAGCTAGTTCAGTAGGCACAGGGGTAACAATAGTCAGGTAGAGACAAGTATGCAAATAGGACAGCTACCAAAACTTGAATATACAATGTATCACGGATTATTCCCTTCAGTCTGGGGAAGACTGTGGACTCTTTCTCAGAATAACATGTACAACAGCATGGAATAAAATACATGTAGTTACAGAGGAAATAAACTATAGTAAATAAAGTTATCAGTATATTAACAATAAAGTGGTATAGTAATACATGAATAACTTATTCATATAACACAAATTATATATAATTATATCATAATATCATAACCTGTTCAAGAATGTAACACTTCAGAAAAAAAAAACGTGTAAGACTCAAGATAATTGTTTCCTACATAACTTGACATGAAAACATCTTCGTTTCTACTGTTATGAGCATCTCAAGCCCTATTACCCTTATTACCATGTGTTTTCAACATTCAATCCCTCCGTATAGAAGACACTGAATATAAAGATGTAATTTTTTCCTATCTGTTCATGGATCATAAGAACTCCTCATGTAAACCAAGTGGATGTTCAGGCAACAAGATAGGAAATGAAGGAAATATTTATAAAGAATATATTTCAAATAAATAAACATCCTCTGGAAAGTTAAAAAAAAACCCACAAATAGATAATATAATCCTAAACTAAACTGGATCGGCTCCAAGGAGTAAAAAGGAAATACCCCTACATCAACTGTTATTTAACAGTTTCCTCTAGTTTGCTAAAAAGAGCACAGACAAACAACGGTAAGACCGCCAAAACATGATTCATTTTCAAGTTGAATCCCTCCCTGTTCAATGGTTTACATTGTTTATGACCAGCATCAGACTGTTTACCACACAAACTGTAAATACGTCATTTTTAGAACTAACCAACAACAATGTCCATTTTGTTATGACATGTAAGGTACAAAAAGAACGTAAAGAAAAATGACCATCGCTCTAATGTCTATGCTTCAAAAATAAAAAAAAACCTGCACAGAGTAAGAGGGTAAAATTCTGAGAATAAAATTTTAATAGGCAAACACCTCCTAAAACTGCTGAATCTGAAGAACAGTAGTATTGTCAAATGCTGTGGATTCTCCTGAGATTTCTGCAAAATTACGAAAGCAATAAAGCTGACACAAACAGCATATTTAGACTCAGAAATCTATTATTACTCTTTCCCCCCTGTTCTTTTACAAATGACAAAATCCTTCACTGACTGGCACTTTACAACTTCCAACAAAAATATATTGAAAGATATTGAATATCTGTATTTTCCCTTGGAGGAGAAGATACATGACAGGAGGGATGACCTAATTTATTTACATTATTCCCAAAGCCTAGCATAGAATATGTACGTGGTTTGCTTAGAAAAGAAGGAAGAATAGGAAGAAAAAAGAAGCTTAGAAGAATATCCCGAAAACATGTATAAATGTGGGGACTACAGATTCTTAATCTAACTACTAACACATCTGTAGTTACTCTTGTTGACATAGCTGTCCCATGTGCAGACTCAATCTCTCTGCAGAAAGATTTTAATGAAATTTAAGTTAAGAAACCCATACTATACATATAAATATAGAACAAAACTTTTATGCACACACAAAAAAAAAACTATCTCAGGAAAAAACAGAGGTCCTACTTGTTGGAGTTACAGAAGTTCTCCCCAGGATACCATTTACCTACATATTTGTTAGCCTATCTTGAAGCTTCCTACAGAACCTGTATATCTGGAATTAATTAGATATTACAAAATATTGTATAATGTGGTCAGTATAGAAGCTATAACAAATGAAGTACTCCAAGTCCTCAAACAAATACATATCCACACCCATTCATCACAGTACTATTCACAACAGCTAGCAGGTAGTAACAACCCAAATGCACACAAGAGGATGAATGAATTGTGTTACCCTCATACAGTGGAATTCAACCATTAAAAAATAAGCAAGTGCTGATATATTCTATAATGTGGGTGAAACTCGAAAACATTGAAGTAAAAGAAGCCAGAAACAAGAAATGACTATGATATCCCTGTATTCATAGGCTATATACAGAGCAAGTAAACCCACAGAGATAAAGAGCAAAGTGGCGGTCACTAGGCACTGGGCATAGAGGACAGGGGAACAAAATGCTTAAAGAATATGTGATTTCCTTTTTGGAGAAAAATGTTTTGGAACTAGATAAAGAAAGATGCTGCTTGCACAATATAGTGAGCCTACTAAATGTCACATTTAAATGGTTAATGTTGTGTTATGTGGATTTTGGATCAATTAAAAATATAAAGATTATGTTCTGTGGTAACCATAACCCCTCTATATAAAATTCCCCAACTGGAATATCTAAAAAGGTCATCCATCAAGGGGAATCTAATGGGATAACCACTCTGGTTTTATCGCTGAAGATGAAGATGGACGCACGTTATGATCCAGAGTTTCCACTCAAAAATTAATACACATATTAACTGCAAACCAGAAACCACACAGATGTATATCACCAGTAGTGAAAAGGATAAATAAACAGAAGTCCAAAGGCACGCAAGTCAGAGCCATGGAAATAAGTGAACTAAACCTACCTACAACAACAGAAATAAATCTTCACAAAACTTAACAAAGCCAAATAGACTGAAATATACAGATTCTGTAATTCCCCTTATATAGAACAGAAACAACAGCGTTTAAGGATATTTCCTTAGAAGCAGAACTATTTTTTAGAAGTAATGAAGTGACTACCACAGAAGTCAGAATCCTGGTCCAATGTCATGGGGAAGGTGAACAAAGGGAGACTCTGACAATGCTTCGTTTATTGATTCGGACGGCGGTTATATAAGTACTGCTCTAAGATAAATTATTGAGTTTCACTTTTTTTTTTTGTTTTTCCTCTAACATACAGAAATCCCATAGAGTTGTATTTTAAAATAAAATGAAAATATACACGACTCATGATGATTATTCTTTTTCATAAATGAGTATTTTCATAATAAATTACAGTACTGACCCATTCAAGACAATATTTTAGAAGAGAGAAGTAGAAAGGAGGTCCAGTTCTCTAAAGTTATATAGTACCAAACATTTATTCTACAAACATGGCACCCAACATCCTTATACATTGAAAGAGTTAGGTAGTCAAAATAGCCTGGTAAAAACCACCATTACTAAACTGCCTCTGACATATCTCTATGAGCAGACTATAAAAACTTTTATTTTATCCCAGATCCATTAAATTAAGAACACAGAGTAAGAGGACTGAGTGAGCAGTGGAGAGAGAAAAAACTGGGTTTACCATGCAGCGGAGAGCCGGAAGGGCTGCTTGATAGACCTGGAACAGGGCTACAGCGACCTCCTTGCTTAGATGTTAGTTCTTGTTCAATTTCTTCCAGTCCAGCACTTTTCTGGAAACGGCTCATGCGATTCACTACTCGGGGTGACATGTGTGTACGAACACAAGGCTGGCCACCATAAGGGTTGATGGGGAAGACATGGGAAGTACCCCGGAGAGTACTGACCACCACCCAGCGACAGTCATGGCTGAAGCAGATGTCCTGTACCTAGAAATGGAATAAGGAAATAAATGAAATGGCTGAAATTATTTGGATTTATCTAAGTAAATCACCAAATATGAATATAAACGGCTACCTCATTACCGAATTTACATGAGAGCAGGTTATAAATAAAAAAGTAAACATTCTACAGATGATTACCACAATGAATGTTAATCAAAACTCCCTTAAGTATGAAGTTACTTCAATGGTCAAGGAATATAGAACCCTGAAAAGAGGTGGAATAGAGAGGAATTAAGGTCTTAAAACACTCAATGCCTCCACTACCACACAACCAATAACAACAACACATGCATCTGCAAGAGTTGCCAAAGATTTCCTACAAGGGGCGATACGGCTTTGCAGGATACATGAGCGCTATTGTCGTGACTATTCAACCCTACCCTGGTACTCTCAAAGCAGCCATGCAACATATGTAAGTAAGTAAGTAAGTGTATGTTCAAAAACTATTTTTTTTTTTTTTTGAGACAGAGTCCCTACCCTGGGTAGAGTGCCATGGCATTAGCCTACATCATAGCTACATCAAATTCTTGGGCTCAAGCAATCCTCTTGCCTAAGCCTCCCAAGTAGCTGAGACTACAGGCATTCATCCCCACACCTGGCTAGTTTTTTCTATTTTCAGTAGAGATGAGGTGTCTCTCTTGCTCAGGCTGGTCTCCAACTCCTGAGCTCAACCAATCCACTCGCCTCGGCCTCCAAGAGTGTGAGGATTACAGGCGTGAGCCACCGCACCCAGACAAAAAAAAACTCATGTTTATAAAAAAAGTGGCAGGTCAAAGATCTGACCTAGAGAAAGTCAGTCATTAATTTGTATAACACTTATATATCAGATAAAGAACTTCTAGAATTTTTGAATTAGCGACTTGAACAAAAATATCTCCATTTACTTTCTTCCATAAACTCAGAAAACTTGCTGCTGTTCTAAGCATTTTTAAGCATAGCCACTAAAAGGAAGGGAGGTCACAGATATTTAAGAAAGTTTTTCTATATCGACTAAATTAATTTTTTACCACATAAAGCAATTACCAAACAGTGCTCTAAAAAAAAAAAATCTAGGTAAGATGAAAGCATAGAATATTTGAGAAGGGATTTAAGACGAAAAAAAAATGTATGTGCACATACACTATACTTATATATACTACAAAACTGTAGTTTTTATATAAAGTATATTAGATTTTATTATAATAACATGGAATATACTGGTACTTTGAGATGAGAACCTGTTGGCCTCCTCATTTGCTGCAAATTAATTGACTTCTCTTTCTCCTCAAACCACTTGTTCTCCTTTTTCTAATGAAGCCTTAGGGACAAGTGCAGAACTTTCAATAACAGAATTTGGCACCCTGGGTGGGTCCATCAGCACCCCACAAATGCTAGAACAATCAGGGAGCAGCCCTGGGTCAAAGTTGTCAGTCCTTCTGTATAGCAGCTCTTCTTTTAGAGGTCAGAGAGCAAGGTACAGCCCCGGCAGCCACCGGAGCCTGTTTAGTTCGGGGGAACTCCCACCTCTGCAGTAGACACAGCTCTCCACAACCTGAACTGAGCACCTGAGGAGAAGAGAAAAGATGTGGGAAGTGTCGGGATGCCAGGCCTTTGGTTGAGTGAGTTCCCTGGTGTGCAGGCTCAGACCCTGATTCCAAACCCGCCTGTTGGTTTTGTTTGGGGGCACCTTTGGGGGGTGGAAGTCATAAGGTTGAGTGGAATTAGGGAAGTTGATCATTTAAATTTGGAGGGAACAGCAAACTAAGCCACCATTTGGGGAGGGTTTCTCAGGAAATGAGGGGATTAGGTCACCTATTTGGGGAGGGTTTTGAACCTTCCAGCCGCTGGGCGTCATATTAATCCCCTTTGGATTCCCATTTGTTAAACTTCAAGCCCAGTGATGGAGCATTTGAGGTGCCATTTGGGGGTGGCTCTTGTCCTCTCTGGATACCCATTTGTTTGATGCCCTGGCAGTTTTGTATCCCCTGTACTGTACGTTATTTATAAGTTTAGTTGAGATGTAAGGAAGCTCCATCTCAAGGTCCCCTGGAGCTACAAACCCACGTGTAAAGACAAAAGTGTTACCAAAATCCAACATATACGGCCGGTGTGTGAGCAGAAGTGCCTATTAAATGAAAATGCCCATTTGATTGATAGGCTGTTGTTAATGTTTGTGCTGGGAATTCCTCATATTGTTTGTGAGGTTTTGAACCTATATCTAAAGATTATTGTGATGGAAGTTGAGGAAAAATGAGGAAAAAAGTGGTGCCAAGCGTAGAGTGTGAGAAAAAGTGGTAGCTGATGGTCCTTGGTTTATTCTGGGCTGCTGGTTTTTTCCTCGGGAATCTGTTGTTGGATGTCGATTGTGATTTGGAGGTACTTTCTAAAGGGTCTTCTCTATTGCCTTTTCCTCCCACAATTAATCTCAATTGGCCTTTCTACACATTTGTGAAAGAAGAAACCAAATAGTCTCATTTGTAGAATAAATAAGCTTCTGATAAAAGAAATAAATCCTTTAAAAATGAGGGAAGACAAGAACAACCCCCTTCAGGCACCCTAGTTGGCTTATGGTGCCGCTACTTGCAAGTATTTGTATTAAAGGCAGGCCAGGTTTTCTAGGATGTCCAATTCTTGTGCATAAGTTTTTACTGAAGGGCAAACTATATCAAGGAAAATTCAGAGCTCAAATAGTCAACCTGCCACTACACAGTTAAAATGTTGTCTCAAAAGCTCTGCTTGAGATAACCTCATTGCCCATGATTTAAAAGAAAAAAATTACATATATATGTAATTATGTATATATATAAATTAAGTAAAATTCCTCAGAGAAGTATGCTCTAAAAATTGAATCTTCAAATAAGCCTAAATATTTCAGAAATGCATCAGAAACAAAAGCTATTATGTGGCCATCAAAGGACAAGTTTATAAAAGAGCCTGAAACCCTTTAAATAGAAAAGAAATGTTAGTCTTCTGTATCAAGACGAGATACTTCATTGCTAGACTACTGCTGGACAAATTATCTCAATACATGAACACACCCAAAATGCAACATGTCTGCCAATCTTTGTTACTGTGACATATGCCAATGACATAATGATGTTTATAATTAAAGAGGATCACGAAAACTGACACATGTAACTCCTAACAATTCTAGTATTTCAGATAGAAAGTGTTTAATCTCCATAGTTTGACTTGCTTAATCTCTGTAGTTTACCTACAATAAAGTTCACTTTAACTATTCTGAATAGATTAGGGATCCTTTTTTTTTTTTTTTAAGAGAAGAAATAGAAGAAAAGAAAGAGGAAGGGAAGGGCAGGACAGAGTATAAATAGCAGAAGCGAGAAAGGAATATAGTACCAGATGAATTCAATATCAGAATATCAAATGCATTTTCATATACCAAGATCAAACACACAAACAAAAATATCTTTAGGTTTATCACTGAGGAACTTACGATCCACCCACAGTGGAAGTGAACTAAGTAATCTAAAGCCTTTTTCCAAACACTTATAATCAACACCTCTTCCTGCTCTGTCAGTGAAAAGGAGTTTTCTTTGTTCATTTTAAGAATACTTGTGATATGAGGTGATGTTAACAATCAGTATCAAGGGACAAAGACGGAATTATAGCAAATGCTTACTTAGAGAACTGCTACTAGAGAAATGACAATGCTCTACGACCTTGAAGTCACATCAAGGTCACATACATAAATGAGCAGAGAAGGACTGCTACAAAATATTAACTATCAAGAGAACTAGGGAAAGTTTAATCCTTTAAACAACATACAGAGGATAACAAGTTGCCTGCTCATAAAATACTAAATGATGCAACTGCTGAGATTATGGAACTATCTGGGTAGTTTTTCAGACATTATTAAAAACCAAAAAACTTATACAATGGCAAACTAGTAATAAACTGATGGCATCATTTGCGTGATATTTGGACTTCAATTATGGAATGTTATTTCTAGTTAACATTATCTCATCACAGTTAAGAAGAGCTGGGTAAGAGGGGTGTCACCAACTTACTTGTATAGCACTAAATATGATGGCCAGTAATGTCACGTACAGGGCAGGCAATTACGATATCAGAAATCTGTAAAGTACAGATACCACTCACTACCCAAATTCCTATTCTCAAACTTAGAAAATAAACATGCTTAGGTACTTATTTTTTAAAAACACTAACTATTCAATATTTTCAACTCCGGAACAAATCAGAGTTGACTAGCAATAGACACACTGTGTCAGTTCCAGGTTAGCCACACTTCAGAAAGCTAATAAACTGAAGTAGACCGGAGACAAGTATAGATTTCCTGGAGTCAGCAAACTTTTCATTACAAGGACCGGATAGTAAATTTTAGGCCTTACAGGCAGTAAACCAAAATCAAGAATGCTACGTAGGTATGTATAGTAACAAGAAGGAAATAAATTTCAACAAAAATTCTGTTGATAAAATTTCAGTATAATTTTTTTGTAATATAAGTCCACTAATTAGAAGAATGGTTCTCTTTTCTACAAAGATAATATTTTGCTTATTAGGCTAGAGTTCAGGAGTTCTAGACCAGGCTGAGCCAAGTGAGGGCTCCTTCTACACAAAAAAATAGAAAATTAGCTGGGCATCATGGCCAGTGCTTGTAGTCTCAGCTACTCGGGAGGCTGAGGCAGGAGGATTGCTTGAACCCAGGAGTCTGAGGTTGCTGTGAGCTATGATGACATCATGGCACTCTAGCCTGGGACTACAGAGTGAGACTCTGTTGAAAGGAAGAGAAGAGGAAGGGAAGAAGAGAAGAGGAAAGGAAGAGGAAGGGAAGAAGAAGGGAAGGGCAAGGGAAGGGGAAGGGAAGGAGAAGCAGAGCTTCTATTGCTATAGTTTAGAAGAATCTCCACAGTGTACAGAGGAAAACCTATACAGAAAGCCTGTACATAACAAGATTCCATATAAGACGTGAGTTAAGAAAATAAGACCAATGAGATTAAGGTACTTTTAAAAATTCAAAAGCAAGC